CAGACACTTAACCGACTGAGCCACCTAAGGGCTCCTTAAATATTTTTAAAAAATGTTTATTTGGGGCGCCTGGGTGGCGCAGTCGGTTAAGCGTCCGACTTCAGCCAGGTCACGATCTCGCGGTCCGTGAGTTCGAACCCCGCGTCGGGCTCTGGGCTGATGGCTCAGAGCCTGGAGCCTGTTTCCGATTCTGTGTCTCCCTCTCTCTCTGCCCCTCCCCCGTTCATGCTCTGTCTCTCTCTGTCCCCCCAAAAATAAATAAACGTTGAAAAAAAAATTAAAAAAAATTGTTTATTTATTTTTGAGAGAGAGAGAGCACAAGCAGGGGAGGGGCAGAGAGAGAGAGAGAGAGAGAGAGCGAGATTGAGAGGTAGACACAGAATCTGAAGCAGGCTCCAGGCTCTGAGCTGTCAGTTCAGAGTCTGATATGGGGTTCGAACCCATGAACTGGGAGATCATGACCTGAGATGAAGTCAGACACTTAACCGACTGAGCCACCCAGGTGCCCCAGCTTAGTTGTCTTTTATGTCTCATACTTTACTATTTCTCCTCCATCCCCTTTGCCCCCCTTATGACTAATACGTTGAAAAGCCTGAGACATTTAACCTACAGAGTTTTCCATAGTTTGGATTTTACCAATTGCATGCATCTGGTGCAGTTTAGCATGTCCTTCTGTCCTCTGCATTTCTTGCCAGTTGGCAAATGGATGCAGAGGTTGGATAGACAGGTTTAATTTCTTTGATGAGTCTGTAGGTGGAGGTGTGTTTTTTACCATGAGGCCCAAACTGTCCAATTGTGTCTCTTTTTACGGTGCATTCACCTTTGGTGCTCATTGCCTAGGCCCTTGAATTCACTTGAATTCTACCAGTCCTTCTTTGTTTATATGCTTTATTGCTTCTGTAAAGAAACATTTCTCTTCATTTACTGGTGGGTTGCCCAATGATACAGTGGAAAGAAAGGATCAGTGTTTTAGTTCTTTTACTTTTTAAAATTTTTTTTTTCAACGTTTATTTATTTTTGGGACAGAGAGAGACGGAGCATGAACAGGGGAGGGGCAGAGAGAGAGGGAGACACAGAATCGGAAACAGGCTCCAGGCTCTGAGCCATCAGCCCAGAGCCTGACGCGGGGCTCGAACTCACGGACTGTGAGATCGTGACCTGGCTGAAGTCGGATGCTTAACCGACTGCGCCACCCAGGCGCCCCAGTTCTTTTACTTTTTAAATTTTCAAGTTACTGAATTTGTTTCCTACTATTACCCAAAGGTGGGCAGTTAGGTTCTACTTTTTATTTTATTTCTTGTATCATTATAAACTCAAGGATTTAAATGTATTTGATGGATTTTAATTCCTGGTTGGTTTTTAGCCATGAGTTCAATCATATCATCCTAGGTGCATGGAAACTTCTTCAAGTGGCTCCTGAGTCCTTTTGACACAAGTCTTTTGATCATTTCTTTGTTATCTGCATGCCAAAATGTTCCAGGTTTATTCTGTATGTTTCCCGCTCAGACCTGAAATCAGCCATTGTTTTAGAAAGCCCTGGATTATTTTAGTGGGAAATGTCACTAAGACCGTAAGCGGGAGTTAGGAGTTCATCACTATATCAGGTCTTTTTGGTGGAAGTACAAATGTTTATATGTAATGTTCATATTTATAGAAGCACAAAGTTTATGTATATACAAATAAAAAATTAATCTCTTCTATATTACAGTTGTGTCTCCTTTCTTCCACATCAAGAGTTCTGGTTTTCAAACACACAGGGAGACCTACAATTAGAATATCCACCTTTACTCATTTGCTTTTCCTGAATGAACACACACAGCAGTCTGAGGATGATGATACTTGTGCTACGACCACCAAAATGATTACTGAAAACAGTTAATATTCCTTTTGCCTCTGTTCTCCTCATCATCCTTCCTTTTTATAGTTGTCCTCTATCTATGTTATGGATCATACACCATTTCAGAAGATACTTGCTCCCTTTTTAGTCTTAGTGCTGTGAGTAATAACATGTTTAATGATGACTACTATTCCTTATGTCAGTGTCCTTTAAGTGCAGTGGTGCTCTAGTTGTGGTCTATGGACTCCTGGAGGTCCCTGAGACCCTTTTGGGAAGTCCGAAAGATCAAAACTATTTTTATAATAATAATAAGATCTTATTTACCATTTTCACTGTATTTGTACTGATAATGCAAAGTTTACAGTGGGTAAACGTTTGGTGCTTTAGTACAAATCAGGGCAGTGGCACCAAATTCTATAAGCAGTCATGGCATTCTTGACTGCCATGCACTTGCAGTGAAAAACCCTCAAAAGTGCCAGTTTCACTTAAAGATAGCCTTGATGAAACAATAATAATCATTAGTTTTTACTAACTCTTGAATCTCAAGTAGGCACCTTTTTAATATATAGTGTGACAAACTAGCATTTCTGCTGCAAAGTGATGGAAAGGCATTTATTTTGTGGAAAAGCGCTGTGTAATTGCTTGAGTTGTGGGTGAAACGAGCCACCTCTTCTTTTTCTTTTTTTATTTTTAAAAAAAAATTTTTTTTTTCAACGTTTATTTATTTTTGGGACAGAGAGAGACAGAGCATGAACGGGGGAGGGGCAGAGAGAGAGGGAGACATAGAATCGGAAACAGGCTCCAGGCTCCGAGCCATCAGCCCAGAGCCTGACGCGGGGCTCGAACTCACGGACCGCGAGATCGTGACCTGGCTGAAGCCGGACGCTTAACCGACTGCGCCACCCAGGCGCCCCACCTCTTATTTTTCTAATGGACTGTCATTTTTCTTGAAAGAATGACTGACAGACGCAGTATGGTTATTTGGCCCTGGATATTTGGTAGGCATTTTCTCAAAAATAAACAAAAGAAGAATGCCACTTCAAAGAAAATGATATTGACAATGAAAATTAGATTTTCCAGAGAAAATCAAAATTTTGGAAAACTTGTGTTTGCCACAGGTTCCCCATAACAAAGGTTTTTGGATGAGATTGGTGGTGATATTACCAAATACGATTTTTTCATATTGTTTAGTGACCCGTGTCAACATTTTGGAGATCCGCATAATCCTGTGGACCCCCTTCCAAATGATCAATACATGATACTGCAAAATTATCACGGATAGAAGGCCCACTCAAAGCACAAGGTAGACCAATGAATTTTAACATAACATGAAAAGACCACTGATAAGATTTCAGATTCCACATTGTAACTAATTTGTAAAGATTTATCATTTGTTGATTGTAGTATCTTATCAAAGAAGAATATACACAATAGCTGAAAGGCTATTAAAATTCTTCCCCTCTTTCCTATTACATATCTGAGTGCAACCACATTTTCTTCATGCATTTTAACTAAAACAACATATTACAGGCTAAATGTAGAAGAATACACGACCAAGTGAATCACTATTAAGTGAGATATTAAAAAGATTCTTTTAATGTAAAATAATTCATTTTCTCTCACCATATTTTTGTGCTAGAAGATATAGCTACTTTTCATAAATATGTTATTTATATTAATATATAATGGGTTTATCACTGTTCTTTATACAAATATTAAAAGTTTTTCAGTTTTAATTTCTAATGTGATGAATATTGCTTCACATAACCCATATAAACTAAAGCTCTTTGGAGTTCTTAATAATTCTTAAGAATGTAAAGGGGTCATGATACCAAAAGTTGTGAACTACTGATGTAATCATTGTGGTTGTTTGAAGCTCTTTCTTTAGTTACTTGCTAAGAAGAGCTCAAGGAAGTCCTTATATTTAACAGACTTCCAGTCAGTTTTGTTGGATATAAAAAACCTTCGTTCCTATTTTCTGCTCTTGAATACCTTAATAATATTACTGCATTTTCACGTAACATTGCTATCAAAAAGTCTGATTGATAATAACCTAATTATCAAGTCAGTTATTGTTTTTGCTGAGATGCCTAAGTAGCGTTTTCGTTTTCTTTAATGTCCAGAAATGTTATTAGAATATATCTTGGTTTTGGTCATCTTGGTGAGTTTCTCAAATAAGCCATATAGTCTTTCAATATATGGCTCAATCTTTTTTTTTTTTTTTAATTTTAGGAATGTTTTATTGAGTTATACTTTTTAGTATTTTCTTTTGTTTCCTTTTTAAGGAACTCCTACCATTTATATAATAGATTTTTTTTGTGTATCTTCAATATTTGTAATTTTCTTTTGAATTCTTTCTCATTCCTTTTTTCTTTAAAAAATGTTCCTTTTTACCTTCTTTCTTTCTCTTGAGGCTTTCATCATTGTGTCTATTTTGTTCTTTTGTTCTTTCTAGTTTAGCCTTCATTTCTGAAGTGGATTTTAATTTCATATTATCTCCTGAGTACTGTAAGCATATTTCTAAAATTTTAAAAAATTATTTTATTTGATAAATTTGACGTTATATTTTGAAAATTTAAGGTATACAGTATGTTATTTTGATACACTTATATGATACACTTATGATTGCCATTGAAGGAATATTTAGCACATCTTATAATAGTTTCTATATTGAGATTTTCTAAGTCTGATTTATGTTGTTGTTTCATATTTTTTTAACACTTTCTTAATGACATTTAGCTTGTTTTGAAATAGAGTACAGCTTAGAATTTTTGGTAGCATGACTTTTCTGGTGTGTTTTCACTGTCTGTAAGGATTTTATTCTCTTCATATTTATACTAACTTTGTAGAAGACACACCTTCTGTCCTCTTCTGTGGCTCTTTTTATATGGAATTAATCTCTTTGAGTTTTATTTTTATTTAGTTATTTATTTTTAATTTTTTTAACATTTATTTATTTTTGAGAGAGAGACAGAGTGTGAGCTGGGGAGGGGCAGAGAGAGAGAGAGAATCTGAAGCAAGCTCCAGGTTCTGAGCTGTCAGCAAAGAACCTGACGTGGAGCTCGAACCCACAAATTGCGAGATCATGACCTGAGCCAAAGTCGGACGCTTAACCAACTGACCACCCAGGTGCCCCATCTCCTTGAGTTTTAGAAGGAGGCATACTTCAGAATGTTTATCCACTCCCCAGAGCTCTCTCTTCTGTTGTTTTTGCATAATGCTAAAAAATATGGCAGCTTGCTTGGGAGAGTTCCAGACTCTGTTTTCGTCCCTCACTTTGAGCTTCTTTTTCTTCATTTCCTTATTTCTGTCTGGCTCAATTTTGGTTCCACTACTCGCAGTGTTTTCCTCAGTGTAAGGCTCTGCCTTGGAAAAGTTCCTGGATGGTCAGTTTAGATAATTCTTAGGGGTGAGACTGCTCCACCCCTTTCTAACCTTACTTTGTGTTCAACTGCTGCTGTGGGATTGGGAAAGTCCTGTCTAGTTTCATCTGCTGCTCTTGTACTGGTCTGCTGTGTTTTTCAATGAGTATCTGTCGACTGTTTGGGATTTATCATATTCTCAGACATGTCAAGTGCCTGGGTGCTTCTCCCAATATTCTCTACCACAGACACTTATTCCAGGGATATCTCGTGACTATTAGTGGATTGTCACCCACCAACTTGTATTTTGAGGTACATGGATGAACCTTATCACCTAGTTTTGTTGAAAATGTTAATGCGGTCTTTAAAATTAAACTCCATTTTGTTATAATTGTATCAGATGTACTTACAAGAAATAAGAGATCTCATGTATCCTTTATCCAATTTCCCCTAAAGGTAACTTCTTGTAAATTATAGTAAATTGTCACAGTCTGAATAGTGACATTGATTAATGCAGATACAGTCTATTTCCATCATCACACTGTCCCTCATCTTGCCTTTTAACAGCCACACCTGCTTCCCCTTCCGCTCCTGGACCCGTCAATCCATTTTTATTTCTATAATTTTGTCATTCCAAAAATGTTATATAAATAGAATCATACCCTATGTAACCTTTTGGGATTGAATTTTTTTTCCCCCAGCATAATTCCCCATAGATTCATCCAGGTTGTTGTGTGTATCTTTAGTTCGTTTGTTTTTATTGCTGGGTAGTATTGCTTGCTATGCACGTACCACAGTTTGTTTCCAGTTTTTGACTATTGTGAATAAAGCTGCTATAAACATTCACGTACAGGTTTTTGTGTGAACACAGATCTTTACTTCTCTGGGATACATGCCCAGGAGTGTAACTGCTGGGTTGCACAGTTTTAAACTAACTGTCAAACTGTCCTCCAGAGCGGATTTCCCACATTAGTTTCACCAGCAATGGATGAATGACCCCATTTTTTTTTAAACTTTTTTTCAACGTTTATTTATTTTTTGGGACAGAGAGAGACAGAGCATGAATGGGGGAGGGGCAGAGAGAGAGGGAGACACAGAATCGGAAACAGGCTCCAGGATCTGAGCCATCAGCCCAGAGCCTGACGCGGGGCTCGAACTCACGGACCGCGAGATCGTGACCTGGCTGAAGTCGGACGCTTAACCGACTGCGCCACCCAGGCGCCCCATGAATGACCCCATTTTTATGCAACCTTGTTTTCGGTATTGATATTGTCCCTATTTTTTATTTTTATTTATTAAACATTTTTTAATGTTTATTTTTGAGAAAGAGAGAGAGAGAGACAGAGGTGAGTGGGAGAGGGGCAGAGAGAGAGGGACACACAGAATCGGAAACAGACTCTAGGCTCTGAGCTGTCAGCACAGAGCCCAATGTGGGGCTCAAACTCAGGAACCATGAGAGTCTTGTATATTTCATCTTCTTGTACATTTCACCTTCCTTGACGTTGTGCAGAAAGGGAGAAGGCAAGTTCTACTTCCCTTGCGGAGAATCTCTGAACCCTTCTGAAGTTACACAATGCAATGATTAGCAGAAAATGTTAACATTTTAACCTAATATAGTCAGTTAAATTTGTGGTGAACAAATTCCCATATAGGATATATATTCTGGTATATTTAAATATTAACTGCACACAACACTATTAAATCTTACAGTATGGTATTTATTTTTTGAAGAGGATTAAAAATGAAAAGTAATAGAGTTTTCACATTGGAAAGTAGAAATGAATTTTTCCCTTCTTTTCATTTCCTTCAGTATTTTAGTATTTTAGACTCATTTAACCTTTTTAAAGCCTTAAACATTTTTTTAATGTTTATTTATTTATTATTTTGAGAGATGAGAGAGAGAGAGAGAGAGAGAGAGAGAGAGAGAGAGAGAGTGTGAGGCAGGGTGGGGCAGAGAAAGAGAGAGAGGGAGACACAGAATCTGAAGCAGGCTCCAGGCTCTGAGCTGTCAGCATAGAGCCTGATGCAGGGCTAGAACCCACGGACCACAAGATCATGACCTGAGCCGAGTGGGCCACTTAGGTGCCCACCCAGGTGCCTGTAGACTCATTTAACCTTTTAAAGAAAGTTATAAATAGACATGGTTTAAAATGTCATGTATTTGTATAAGGCTTGTAATGAACAACAGCAGACCTCACTGCCTCCCCATTTTCCCTTTCCAGACACAGACTTTGTTAGGTAGTACCATTTTACAAGTGAGAAAAATAGAGGCTTAAAGAGGTTCATGAACACCCAAGTTCATATGGGTCGGAAGTGATGTAGCTATGGTAACTCAAATCTGTTTGACCCCAGAACTTGATATCTGAGCTATATTGCTTCTCAATTACAAGATCACTTTCCTGATGGGGGAGCATAAGGCAAGCTGAGTGCAAAGTATGGGCTAACAGCACCCCCTCCCTCCAGGTGGGATATGTGTGCTATTCCTAGGACACTCCTGGATGCCCAAGAACAAAGGCAAGTGAAAAATTAAATTCCCTTACTGCCTACAGCCCATTGACAAGTCCTTGAAACAGGCAGAGTGACCTTTCTCTAGGAGCACAGCTGCCTTGATGATGACATTTCAATAGGGACAAAAGGGAATCTTGGCTTAACATTATCCTGACCGCCCCCCCCACCCCCCACCAGGATCCTGTGTCTCCTTAAACACATAAAAATTCCTTTGCAAACATCCTTTATCTTTAACCCCCAAGTATATGTTGGCAATTATACTCCAAGCATATGGCCCCTGATATATATCTGAAGGGGCTGATGACTGAGGTTTTACTAAACAGTAATAAATGATGTTTTTCTAATAACAGCCCCTTAAGGTTCTGGAAAGCTTGTTTCCAAAATTCCTTAGAGACTTATGCTGTCCCTAACCCCCTCCCAACTTGAAAGTATATAATTAGTCACTCTTCACAACCCAGTGCAGCTCTTTCTGCCCACATGTCCTATCCCCATGCTTTAATAAAGTCACCTTTTTGTAGCAAAGACATCTTCAAGAATTCTTTCTTGGCCGTTGGCTCTGAACCCTATCATTACCCCAATCCCCATCATTCTTATTTCTGCTGTAACAATCACAAATTTAGTGACTTAAAACAACACAAATTGATTATCTGGCAGTCCTGGAGGATATAAGCATGAAATAGGTCATACGGGAATAATCAAGGTGTCAACAGGTCTGTGTTCCTTTTGGAGGCTCTAGAGGAGAATCTTTCTTGCCTTTTCCAGCATCTAGAGGCCACTTTGATTTCTTCCCTAGGTGCCCCCTGCAGCAACACTTCACCCAGATTTCTGGTCTGTCCTCACATCTCCTTTGACTTGACCCACCTCCCTCCTCTGACAGGTACCTCTGCTTCATTATAGTGCAAAGTCTCCTCTGAGGGAAGAACACAAGCTTCATTAACATAACATAGGATGCCTGTATGGACACATTTTCTAAGTCTGCCTGCCTGTGCAATTTTCTGCCTTCTTTTACATTGACGAAAAAGCTCCTTTTTCTGAATATTCATCCTAAACCCTAGTTAAAAAGAACCTGCTCACCCTTGCTGGCAAAGTCTTAGCTTTGGAAATTACTCCCCATGACCTCCTGGTTTGCTGCAAATAAAGCTTCCTTTGCGTGAGAGCTTCACCTGGTGTAGTCTGTACCTGTAACTCACAAGGGAGCAAAGTCATGTTAGTGGAAGAGGACTTCAACCACCTCCATTTTGACCTCAAACTTTCTGATTAAGTTCTTTCCAGCGTATCTCTTAATTCAGGCAAAAGACCCTGAG